AACGCAACGCAACGTCGCTGTAGACGTACAGTAGACGTAGTAGACTCATACTAAGACGATTAAGTTAATCTGTAACAAATCATACCCAGTCTTATTCCCAGCCTCGGTTGGTGGCGGCCGTCCCCAATGCTACCTTAGCTCTACCGTAGTCGCGACCTCTCCCAGGGGTGCAACCAACATTCCTGTACCTTTTTCTTTTCCCTTTCCTTCTCCTCCTGCAGTTACTTTTAGATTTTTTGTTCTTCTCTCCTCAATCCTTCTCTTCTCGAATTTCTCTCCCGTTGTTATTTCCGGTGCAACATCATGGAGAGTGTTAACAAACCCAGCTTTGAGATGGGCAACAATGCCACCGTCAAGGCGGCGGGCGATGTCAATGTCTCGGCAAAGGCAGAGCCAGATTCTGGACGGAGCTCGACGAGCAATTATCATGATAAGGATCAGCTGGAGCGGATGGGGAAGAAGCAGGTCCTCCGGGTATGTTACACTGTCCGTCATTGAGGTGCATCGACTGACAGCTCAGCGCAACTTTGGGTTCATGACGATTCTGGGATTCAGCTGTACTATTCTCATCACCTGGGAAGCTATCACTGTTCTCTTCGCTCAGGGCCTCAACAATGGTGGTACAGCCGGTGTTATTTACAGCTTCCTTGTCGTTTGGGTCGGTAACTTTAGTGTCTTTGCTACCATGTGCGAGCTGGTCTCGATGGCACCTACGTCCGGAGGACAATATCACTGGCAAGTCACATCATCTCTCCCTCTAGATTCCAACTAACATTGTCTCCAGGGTCGCTATGATGGCGCCGCGATCGTGCTCCAAATTCCTCAGCCACCTCACAGGCATGCTCACGGTCGGCGGATGGCAAGGCTCAGTATCGTCCAGCGCCTTGCTCACGGGAAACATGATCTTGGGAATGGCGACGCTTAATTATCCCGACTTCCAGCCTGAGCTTTGGCAGGGAACATTGTTGTTCTGGGCCATCTTTGGATTTGCTGTCTTCATCAACACCCTCGTCAGTTCCGTGCTGCCCAAGTTTGAGGGATTGATCTTGATCCTGCACATTCTCGGCTTCTTTGCCATCTTGATCCCTCTTGTTACTCTTGGACCTCATGCGTCTGCGTCGGATGTCTTTGGTACCTTTGTTAACAACGGTGGATGGTCGACTAATGGCATCTCGTTCATGGTTGGTATGATGGGCAATGCCTTTTCCTTCGTTGGAACTGATGCCGCTTTCCACGTAAGCTCTCACATCTTGCCTCCATGAGCTTTCACTGACAGTCTCTAGATGTCCGAAGAAACCGTCAATCCATCCGTCGTCGTCCCCACCTCCATCCTTCTCAGTCTCTGCATCAACGGCGCCTGCGGCTTCGCCATGGTCATCGCCATGGTGTTCTGCATGGGCAACCTCGACGACGCGATGGCCTCAGGCCCCGGAATGCTCGGCTTCCCTTACATGTACATCTTCAAGCAGGCGACAAACTCAAGAGCCGGCGCGACCGTCATGTCCGCCATCATTGTTCTTCTTGCTGCCTGCGCCACTGTCGGTATGCTTGCATCGACCTCTCGTGTTTTCTGGTCTTTTGCTCGCGACCGTGGTCTTCCCGGCTGGCGCACCCTGTCAAAGGTCAGCGACCGAACCACCGTCCCTGTGTACTCAGTCCTTTGCACTGCCGTCATCTCCATCCTCTTGTCACTCATCAACATTGGTTCGCCTGTTGCGTTCCAAAATGTCACTTCTCTCTCCATCTCTTGCCTCTACTCCTCGTACCTTATCGCCGCCGGTCTTCTGCTCTACCGTCGCCTCACCAAGGGCTTTACGCTGCCCGGTGCATCTGATCTCCCAGCCTTGGCCAACACCACTGGAGCTGAGCTTGTTTGGGGCCCGTTCCATCTCAAGGGTGCTTTTGGCATCGCCAACAACATCTTCGCCATGTGCTACCTCATCGTAGTGGGTTTCTTCAGTTTCTGGCCTCCCATGGTGGAACCTACCGTGGATATGATGAACTACAGTGTCGTGGTCACTGGTGGCCTCGTCATCTTCAGTGTCATTTACTATTTCGCATGGGCGCGAAAGGAGTATAACGGACCTATTGTTGAGTAGGTTGGTGTTTTTTTTTTATCAATGGCGCGGCATAAAATTTGTTTCAGTTGGCGATGCATAATAAAATGTTATTCTTTCCATGAGATTCTATAGACTCTTGTTATCCCACTTGGATATTGAGATAGTATATCCCAATAATACAGCTGTCTCAAAATTCTGATCTGTCGCTGCCTGGCTCACTGTATCGTGCAGTAGAGGAACTTGATCACAACCTCAAATCCCTGAGTCTGTTGACGGATTATGTGATCTTCTTGGCATTATCCCGTCGAGAATGCCATGTCGCATATGCGTGCTCAGGCGTGTATCTCCGTTGAACTGGCTGCAACCCTAGAACCCAACCAACGCACGAAGCAACAAGTAGAATGAGATGCGAGAACACTATATCAGCATTCTGTAACAGGTACCTCAGTTTATTATGAGACACTCGCGAGATATCAGGCACATTCAGAAACACAGGAATATTGTCCAAGGTTCGAAAAATGATGAACAAGTTCAGAGGGATCCAAATATCGAGAAACAGCCCCTGCAGCCTTGAAGGTAAACGAGAAACCGCCGAGGCCTTATCGTTCAGCAACTTGGGACTGTTGAGAATAACACCGTTCAGATTCCAGAAGAAGATGGCTTTATCGTTGTCATCCGGATCCGTCCTCTCAATCACGATGACCTCTTCGCCGTCTGGTGCGGCTCGCTGCCATTCATGCCAAGCGTAGCGCGGCACTTTGATCTCGGGCTGATTGCCATCGGTAGCGCTGATGACTTGTCGCGAATCTCCCAGGCGAACTCGAATTGTTCCTTTCACTACTTTCAAGTATTCATCATGAGTTTCATGCCAATGAAGTCCACTTGACCAGGTTGAAGATACAGGAAGCGTGATGCGCACATGCACGACGGTTGACATGTCATAGATGACGCCGTTGGGAAGCGGGCGCTCAATAACGCTGGGGACATTCTGATCACCCATTTCGACGTCCCGGGCGAGAAGACTATCATAAATATCTCAAGTTCCAATTGTTGAAAATGCTGCCCCTCACTTGAGGGAGGAATTGAATGACATAAGCTGCCGGATTGGGCAGGTCACGAGAGTAAGCAGTTAGAATCCTTCATGGTTGGAGAGAGGGACAATTGGCTTATTTGGTATCTCGATGATGCAATGAGATAATTTAAAATCAGCTGTCTCGATATCTAACTGAGCAGAACCCCCTCAGTCAACAGGTTGCCAATCTTGAGATGGAACCTTGCCAAGGTCTTCAGTGAAAGTAACTGGCTCCCTTCGAGTACGGTTCACCTTGAGATCGAAAACATCCAAGCGCTGATATCCTCCAACAACATCATGATACTGCTTCCCTTCAATACAATTCTCGATATCAAGATCAGCATAAAGAATTTCTTCATCATGCTGCAGAAAGTCGGTGGCTACAGCCTCCCCGGCCTGACTGTCGATAGTGAATCCCTTCAAAGGAGCCCCGGTTGGATCAAGGAATTGAGTCGCGCCACGCTGAGACTGCTGCAGCACCTCAGTCAAGTATTCTGAACCTCCAGAAACCGCGTTAATGGCGTCTTCTCCCAGGACGCCCGAACACAGAACACCGAAACACTTGGCTTCGAAGCAATGAGCAGCTGCCCTTGTTCTGTTTGCGGTAACGTTATCGTAGTTAGGCTTATCTGAAGTTGCCTCAGATGATTCTAAAGTTTCGCCTGGGGGAGCAACTCGCGTTGGCCAGATCGGTGGCCAAGTCGAGATATGAATGTTCTCCCCTTGAGCCATGAGGCTATACCGAGCCAAAGGGTTGGTATTCTCTCCGCAAATCAAATTCCCAATCTTTCCGTACGGTGTATCTGCAACGCGCAGGCCGTTTCCATCTCCAGGTGCCCAAGTAAGCTTCTCAAAGAACGTAGGCATTAATTTCCGATGATGAATCAGAACCTCTCCAGAGTCTCCAATCAAGAGATTTGAGTTATATAAAGTCGCGCTGCTGAAGCGCGCTTTTTCGGAAAAGCCTACGCTGACCATGATATTTTCCTGTTTGGCGATGCTACGAATGGCATGAATTTCATCGCCATCGGCAAAGATGGACTCATGCGCCATTTGCCTAAAAAGATCGTGGTTCTCGGTAGGAGCTCGTATTGAGCTCCATATTGGAAACGCCGAGATGTATGTTTCCGGGAACACGACTAGATTTGCTTTGTTCTTTGCCGCCTGCTTGATTAAGCCAATTGCTTTCAAGGTTGTAGCCTTCGCGGAGAGGAAGATGGGAGAAACATGACATGCTGCAACTCGGATGACAGTCATTACTCGTATCGGTAGCCTGTGGCAGCGAAGTAAATCAAATGATGGTGTCAAATAATTCTACAACATGCGCCTAGTGAGTGATGAAAGTTGTGTACTCACTGTAAATACCCCAGATGCTTAAAAGGTGGAGGAACGGCAATATCGGGTATCGCGGGATGATGAGATTACATAGGCTCGGGACTTCTTTTATGCTCCGTCCATCGTCAGTTATTTCTTTGAGAATAGAACCGGGAACTCAATAAATTGATTTATGTAATGTTAGTCTGGTACAGTAAATGGAACGAGGAAGAAAGGGAGGCCTGCCGACATGGGCTTTGGAGGCGACTCACACGTCTTTGTCCGCCTTCATTTTCTCCACCTTAGTGTACTGAGTTCTCTCTGCTGATTTGAGCTCCCAGCCATAGTCCAATTCTAACCTTGCGACCAAGGCACATTCAACTGTGAACGCGTGACAACTAGAACAACGGCGCTTGACATGACATAGCGGCGGTTTTATGCCTCAAGGTTCAGGCTGGGGGCGGGGCTCTTTGGTCATAATCATCGATCCATCGCTCATCGCATTCCATTTTCATACAACACACAAGGTGTCGCATAGAAATCCTCAACGAGCCATGATATACTGTACTCTTTGCGGAATCCATATCACTGGACAGCCTGGCGAAACATGGCTCCAGGAGTTTCGAGCAAGTAAGTCCCTGTCACTATTGACTACAGTACCTAGATTCTAATTTGACCAGTCTGGGTTGAGAGCGATTTAGTGGACAATGTCGCTGTTTCTGGTGTCGGCCGACGGAGCAACAACGACGATGAAATTTTTGGAATCGCTCCAGATGATCCAAAGAAGCGCTACGACGACGATACTGGGCCAGGTACCACTATCGATGTGGCTTTGACACCCAGTAGACCAACCATTTTCACACGCTCCCTAGATGAAGATGTCTCGGCTTGGGGCTATGGATTTCACGCATCTTGCTGGAGTATCTTCACAAAGTATTCCATCCCGAACCTGGGCCGCTTATTTGCGGCGTGTTTGTCCATGCCAACTGGTCAAGAAGCCTTCCTGAACTGGGGTCATGACTATGGAGGAGCAAGCATACTGGAAAAAGGGTTCGAAGTGCCGACACAAGATACTCGCTTCCCTGACCCACGAACTATACCCAATCCCTTTCGATCAGATCCGTTTCACATCCCCACCCTAGCCAATGCAATCCAACAAACAGCTCGCCTACAGAACGATATATTCCTAAGTCATGTCACATTCAACACTAAGGCCCTTACTAAAGACCCCTTCTTTCGCTTGTCTCCAGATATCTTACAGTTAATCACTGTATTGCTATCAACCTCAGAAATTCATGCAATACGGCTTGCATCCCCGGTCTTTGCCTCCCTTCAATTATCTGAAAGATTCTGGGCCTCTCGGTTCCAACCAGGCCACGAGTTCGAGTATATACCCGAGATCATAGATCATCCGCCTGAATCATGGAGAGCCTTCTACTTATTACTCCAAATCTGGGCCCTAAATGACCCTCATATGGCTAATCGCAAGCGAATTTGGAGCCTTGCGAAAACACTGCATGGCCTAGTGTCTCAGATGGAAGACATACCTTGCCAAGGGAGGCCCCTACAAACTTGGTTTGAGACTTCTGCGGATTTAGATGACACTTCAGCTTGCTGGCACACGGCGGCATGCGCAAGTACCCAACCGAATGATTCATTCCTCAATGGCAATCGAGTTTTACGAGCTCGTATCCTCAGTTTCTCGCCAACACTCATGATGCATAGGATGTCTGTATCATTTGTGAATCTACCAGAGGGGGTGTTTGTTTCTGGCCTGGTCCTGATTGATCACAGCCATGAGCGCTATGTTATCGGGTACATACATGAGGGTAATATGGTTGACATTCATCTTCCTAATGCACAACATATCCAAGGCTGGGAGCTTGCCTTGCGTACATCTGGCGTTAAAGCAATGGCTCTTATCTATGAGAATGGGGTACTATCTAGCTGGGCCGGCGACCCGGCTGATACTCCATGATGGCGCTTAGCTGGAGCCCCCGGCCTTTTAGCAATCAAAGCTGAGTTTGATGTAAGTTTCTATCTGACTGGACTCTCTTCTCCTTATCAATTATACCTTCATGAACTGAGATATAATTTCTGACATTTTACAGGCCATAAAGCTCGTCAAACTTAGCCGACAAGGCTCACTTGATGAGCTCAGCTGGCGCAATAGCTGCCTCTGGTATCCTCAAGTTCCACCGATGGGACTTCTTTATGATTGGAACAAGGGCGATAAGCCACCAAGCGAATTTAAACTCCCTTTCACAGGCGTCTTCTTTGATGAAATTGATGACATGTATTCATCAACCCTTACTGAGATCGTTGTTTGGATCTTTGATGTCTGCTATATCGCAGGCATAGAATTCCGCTTTGCTAATCCCTACCATAACCGGCAGCTTGGAAACACTGGTCCATTTGACGAAGAGTTCCCTGGACGACGAAACTTCTCGGACTCACATGATTCCAATGTGTCATTAATAATAGATGGGGGTGCTGGAGAACGACTAAAGAGTCTTGAGGTTCAGGAACGCGGAGCGACTGTCGTGGGCATGAAGGTACCCAAGCCAAACGAAACCTCGCTCGTCAAAAATCGGTTGCTTACTCTTCTAGATAAACACTACTTTCAATCGACATGTACAAACTCCGGGATATCCTTATGGAATACAAAAGGGTTGGGTGACAGTCCAACCTAAGGGATCCCGAATTGTTGGAATGTTTGCCACCTGCGTACGCATGGCTTTGATTATGCTGCAATATCGGTATTATTTCCTATGGAGAAGCTAACATTTATTACAACAGGGTGATACGCTAGACAATGTTGGTTTAATATCAATAGGCTGAGTAAATAGCAATAGAGAAAAAATACATAACTAGATATCATTTTACAAATAATTTTAGTTACACCAGAGGCGTGGATTGCTTGGCGACGGCTTCAATATCGCGTGCGGAGCATCCATTGTTCAGTTGATGGAAGAAGAGGAAAGGCAGCGGATCCAACGTCATAGAACAGGAGGTTCTTGTCCTGTTCACGGCAATGCCAATGAGTCTTTTGATCTCAACCAAAGAGCAAATTGCAGCGAGGTCGATCGCTGTTGTCATCTTGCGGCTCTTCCTTACGTCTTTAGCATTGTAGATCTTGACTTGGACGACCTCGCCGGATTCGCAACGCGCAACAAGGCGAGCCAGAGTTCAACTTACGCATCAGTGGTCAAAGGCCGTCTCTACCGGCGTGCTTGATAGTCTGGTAGGCCTCCCTACACTTGTGATTGATCCTTGTCAGCCGTCCGCTAGGCATTCTTGAAATACACACACAGTTGATTTATCACGCCATAGTTCGACCTTGTTGGTTGGTGTTTCAATGGGGACTAAGTCCAGAGACCAATGAGGAAACTCGATTTCTTGTTATGCGACCTCATTTCAACCCATTACGCAATTAAAGAGTTCAGTGCTGTCAGCCTTGTTGCCTGCCAAGGTACCCGCGCCACGGACCTGATATCAAGGCACAGGAGTATATAGCCCAGTCCAGTGCAATCATGGAGCACCATCAGATTTTAACTCATTTCTTACATCCTCCCTTATCGTGTTGTTTGCTTGCATCACACGCCTCACACGTTGGAGTCTCTGCAACAATCAATCTGACTCCATTTTCGGAGTCCTTATAACATGCCTCAGCCTTTTGAGCCAAAGCCTGGCCAGGAGAATTTATTTACATTTGGCAAAACCCCAACTTATCTTTTTCGACTCCACGTCCCACGTTCAAAGGGAGATACTAGCACCACGCGTGTCATGGCTCCAGCCTTCCTCGGGCAAACGGCATATCATAGAGATGGGTTGCCATGCAGCCAAGATCTTTTGCAGCTGCCACCCAAAAAGGCTGCTTCAAGACTCAAAGACCATCTACTTTGGCACTGTAACGGTTTTAAAAAGAGCTCCTGCAATCTCATGTCTTGGTCTAGTTCTCTTCTCTTCCTTCTCCAATATGCCTTGTACCGTCACACAAGAGACTTCGAACCAAAACCACAATTCGCGGATATCAAAATCATCATGATTGATACCCGAGAATTTCCTGAAAAAACATTCCTTCGCGATCTTGATGCGTTGGAGTGGCTGCGTGAAGAACTAGACCTCAAAAAGCTTCACGAAAAGAGACATGCCCAGTTTTACTTTGGAGAATACCTTACTCAGGGTTATCTAGATATCGAAGGCAAGTGTGTGGAGATGACAATGCAGCAGCTCATTGATCGGGGCCTTTTCACGGTGATATGTCCTGCGTTGAACAAACCCAATAATAATTGGGCAGACTGGGCAATACCAGTCTGCGAACTTCGCGTTGGCATCATGGAAAACCATATTGTGGATCAAAAGCAAATTCGATCTGCAATCTTCGTGGCTAAGGATTATGTCGGGGATCGATTTCTTGTACCCTTTGCACTGATGTTACTGGGATTGCGGAGCCGACCGTCCGACAATTCGGCGATTGCGAACGTCTTCCAGTCCCTCTTCACTGGCATGTAAAGCACGCAGTGAAACCAATAAACACTAACATGACATCAAGATGAGGAGCTCAATTTTCGGAAAGTCAAGTACGATCAGTCCTCTGGAAGGATGAAAGAACTCAGAAGGTTCCAAGAATTAATGGAAGCCGTTGAAAAACAAAATGATGAAAACCCACTGGCCGAGACGACAAGGTTGATGGGAGGGCTAGGACTGTCAACCAACGGATTACCCATTAAGAAAAGTATCTATGTTGGTCCATTTAGCGACGAGTAAAACCCAGGGCTGAATTATTACGCGCCAAGTTTTGGACCGCCAATAGAAGAAAAATCTGCAAATGAGAGTTAGAGCATTCCTAAAGTATGTAAATATTGGCATAACTATGGTATAGGTAATAAGAACAAATTGACGTTATAACCACCATAAGAGTGATATTGATCCTTCCACCATCGTTGACAGGTGCTCTAGCCACAGTAGAAGCGAGAGAAGCGGTTATGCACCTAACAGCCACTGCCGCAGACAGCCTTGTTGAAGTATAACTTCTCTCTGCTGATTTAAGCTCTGTGCCACAAGTCTCGATTGCAAAAAGCAGATCTCCCTCACAACTCAGACATGATACCACAATGCCTGACTTGTTGTTGCAGTCAAATCGCCCCTGGGGTGAGAAATGATCAAGGCGATTACAGCGCCATAATCTTGAACACCAAAACAAACTGGGAGAGCCCTCGACTGGATTTATATGCAACCACAACCAGAAGACTCCTCAATACAGGGCATTGATGAAAGTTGCTGAGTGTTTGTCACATTGGTTAGATCAGTAGCAGTCGCAACCACATATTTGAGTGCACTTCTTGGCGTTTCTTGATCCGAATATCCATGCATGAAATGCGAGCCCATAGACCGACGTAGCCAATTAAACCAGTTGGATAATAATACACAGCCTCGACAGCTTACAGGCTATGAGTTAGGTCTGTCGATCCATATTCGATTGGTTGCGACTACTGAGTTAGCGCTTACTCTCGTTTCATCCTTCAGACACTTTATAATGCTTCTCTTTGTCGCATCGTTCTCGCAACTTGTCTTTTTTACACTTAGTCTTCGCTTTGTTTCTCAAGACCTTCCAGGCTGTATAAGCTCCTCTCAAATTGTGAATATCTAAGCTGCGCTATGGGTATCTCCGTGATTCTGGGGCTCGTCTTGCTTGTCACAGGGTGGTTCGGATGGCGAAGAAATGCGGGAAACAATGGTTTTTATAACACAATACCATGCGTTGGTGTTCGAGAAGATGAATGGTTTGCATGGGCCAGAGCAAAACTCCGTAGCTTCTCAAAAACAGAAGAGTGGATGAAGGAGGGATACGAGAAAGTGAGTAACCCACTCAACAAAGACATGGGCTCACTGACCCTTTCCTAAGTACTCAAGACACAATCAACCATTCATCATTCCTTCATTTCGAAAAGGCAAAGTCCTCATTCTTCCCCCCGCCCAACTAAAGGCCATCTACAACAAACGTGAGAATGAGCTGCAAGCCCACGATCCAGCCTCAGAAGCTCTTTCTTTTGAATGGACAATCTGCGATCAGGAGGTTTATCCGAGCAATTACACAGTCGATGTGATTCGCAAGTGGATTACCAAGAGATTCGACGAGTTTGCAGCTGAATTGCAGGAGGAACTATGTCTTGCCGTGGATGAACAGTTCGGCATGAGTCAAGAGTGGAGAGAGGTAAAGCTCTGGCCAGCTGTGCAGAAAATATTCACCCAAGGCCTGAACAGAGTTCTTGTGGGATTTCCATTGTGTGAGTTGTTTTCACAAACAAGCAGTCAGTATTGCTAATCAACATTAAAAATTGCAGGCAGAGACGCAGTGTTCCTTGAGACCATGCGCCGGTTTGCTATCGACATGCCATTTCAGGGTTTGTTCATAACCCTGGTTCCGAAAATCCTCAAGCCGATTCTGGCTCCCTTGATATCATGGAATTCCAGACGGGACACAAAGGCAGGCATCAAGTACTGTGCCCCATTTATACAGGAGTATCTGGACAAGAATCGGGATCCTTTGCAAGAAAAGCCGGTAAGTTCTTCATCCCCCGAGTCTGACTGCTTCTGAACGCTATCTAGCTCAATATCCTCCAATGGATCATAGAAGCTAGCGCCGCGACTGGCGATCCAGCTCAACTCGACCCTCACCGAATAGGTCATCGCATGATGATCCTCAACTTCAATCTCGTGCAAGGCGGTTCAATTCCATTTAGCACTGTTCTCAGCGACATCTGCAACGGCCAACACGCAGCCTCGGCATTCTCCCAACTCCGCGACGAGGCAACATCAGTCTTGGCTTCTACCAAGATCTGGGATCGCGCAACCATCTCCAAGCTCGTCCTCGCCGACTCAGCAATTCGCGAGTCAATGCGCTGGTCCGACTTTGGCCTCTTTGCACTCCCACGTCGGGTCAATTCTCCCGGCATAACTCTCGACAACGGTATTCACGTTCCGCCAGGTGTTCATATAGAAGTCCCGATGCATAGCATACATATGGACGAGGACTCTTACGCAGACGCAGGCTCCTTCAAGCCGTTTCGTTTTGCGGATGGAACTTCTGCGTCTCGTTCGGCTGTGACTCTTGACGAGAGCTTTCTTGGTTTCGGCTATGGGAAGAATGCATGCCCGGGACGATTCTTTGGCTCGCACGTCATGAAGGTCGTGTTGGCTTATTTGGTTATGAATTATGATGTTGAGCTTGGGGGCGAGGAGCCTCCAATGAAGACCATGTGGGAATACAGAATTCCAAGGGAGAGCACTGCCATCAGGATTCGCAGGAGGCTTGGGCATTAATATCTGTAACTTGAAAGGAAGCCTCCGAGTCCCAGCACATCCGCTCAAAACCATAGTGTACTACACGAGTACTCATTTTGACCATCAGCACGAACAGCAGCCAATTCAACTTTCTCATGTACTTTAGCCATACGGTCGTTCTTTTTCTGAATCACATCTATATCTTGCTCTATATAAGGTGATTGCCAGTTCGCAGCCAGTTGCCAGGAGCTTATGTTACAGCACCATAGTGCTTTGCAAGACAAAACACAACTCGGTGAACTACTCGCAACACCGATCCTATATCAGAAGCTATCGCCGGCGCAGGTATGTCACAAACAGAGTCTGTTGCATAATAGGATCTGGAGGGCAATTATAATGATTCCTAAGGGCACATGTATCTACATATTGGTGGGCCGCATTGATAAGTGCCATGATGCGCTACCGCATTGTTCACCAAGAGGGAGAAGATCTCGCAAGGCAGCTCATGCACTGCTCAGAGCTCTCAGCGGCTTGGTGCAGCACGATGGGCCGGC